CGTAGCCCGGTTTGGTGGTGGGTCCCACGTGCCCGAGCAAGCCCAAGGGCAAGTCTTGCCCGGGCTGAAGCCCGAGTTGGCTGACGTCAGCGCTAGCGTCACGCTGATGTCAGCGCACAGTTTTTTTAAAAAATTCAAAAAAAATTCGAAAAAATTCTGAAAAATTCTGAATTTTTTTTTTTAAATACCAAAAAATTCTGTATTTTTTCCCTATAAATACCTAACCATTTTATTCACTTTCTACACCAAATCTTCATAAAAACTCATCTCCTTCCAATATTTTTCACTTTCCACATCAAAAAAAAAAAAAAAAAAAAAAAAAAAAAAAAAAAAAAAAAAAATTTATTCAATTTAATATCTTTTTTTATATATTATTTCTTGCATTTCCAATTTCTTTTTTTTTAATAGATTAGTCAAGGCAAAACCAAAAATGTTATTCGAAAAATTTTATCCAAAAATTTTATTTGAAAATTTTATTCGAAAAATGTTATCTTAAATTTTAAATGAAAATTTTATAATAAATAGTGACACGTGACAACCGAAAATATAATCTAAAAAGCTTATCAAAATTAATAGTTTAAAGTATAAACAAATAGGAAATAAAGTACAATGAATAGTAATTGCCTTAGACTTGCCCTAGACTTTGCCCTCATGGGTGGAACCACAAATGCAAAGGCTGACACTATTCACGTGAATAGTGGCAGCCCTTGCTTGCCCTTGCCTTAGACTTAGCCCTTGTGGGTGGAGATGCTCTTAGGGTTTGTCATATATGATTTCTTTAATAATATGTATATGCGATTGGTGTATGTATTTATTATAGAAAGGCTTTGAAATATGATTGGTGTATGTATTTATTATAGAAAGGCTTTGAAATATGTACTGTTGGTTTGTCTTATGTATGTTATTAGGATTTGAAATAGGTAATGAAGGTAAAAGAAACAGACTTCAATTGTTCGGATTGATTAAGTGTTTGTTTCTAGTTCAATTTGTTCATGTTCTTCCCTTCTATTTTCAGGGCTTGTTTTTCGTTCAGAGTAAGACATTCTTCTAGAATGTGAAAATGGAATTGTAGCTTTAGTTGCGCCCTAAACACAAAAATCCATATATAAATCTCTTCTTGCCCGCCAATTCCAACAAGAAAGGGAGGGAAATGGTTTCAAATTGGCGGCAAATGGGTCTGAGGCGTTGAGGAGGTCAAAAGGGATTGGTTTGACGATTATATCCCTAATAAAATGGGCACGTGATCTCACATAATGAGATTTAACAATTTTCTTGATGAAAAGTCACGATAGGGACTATTTAAGAGCACCCATATTAAAGCTAGGGACAACGAGTGATAAAAAAAACTTTAAGGACGGAATCTGATAGTTTCACGAATGTCAAAGACGTTTTGTGATAAAAAGCCAAAAAAAATATAGAACTGATTCCTCCAATCAAGAACTGAAACCATTGAAAGCATTGCATAGATAAATAGATGAAAGAGGTATTATTCAATAAATTAAAGAATCATGGAAAAGAAATAATAACGAAAAGGAAATGATAAAAGAAAATTGCTCAATACCCTATGCATAGTCAAGAGTATCCCAAGCACTAGTAGAAACCATTTCCAATTGCAGGTAAAACCTCTTTGAAGATTACATAAACACAATCAAATTACATGTGACAGATATGGACATATATAAGCATATGCACCAAACCTATAAAACAAAATCTCCAAAATCCCACAATCCAAAATTCAGCAATTCCAAAACCAACTAAAACAATATCTAACCATTCCCCAAAATAAAAACAAACACTAATAGACCAAACAATTTTTTTTTCTTCATATTTCCAACTATATATCTCCGGTAGTCTTTTTATTTTTTGGTCATTGAAGCTTCATTAAAGCATCAGCTAAAGACACCAAAGGCCAGCAAAACAACAGAGAATGACAAACACAAAAATAAATATAAACTCAAAGCACCCTGAGAACACTAGCTGGTTAAGTAATAGCCCACCAAAAAATTGGAATTTCAATCTACAATTGCATACCAAGTGGATCATGAGAGTTAATTCAACTAAAAACCTGCAGTAGAACATAAAATCTAGAAAATATTAGGCTCAACAAGAAATACAAGGGAGTAAAAATCAAAATCAAGGAAAATGATCATTGCTAGAGGGTGAGGCTTTGAGTGGATATTAAATCTGTGATGAGATGGGGTCCAAGATATGAATATACAGCAGTAACACATTATACCTGGGCTGAGATGGGATCGAAGATGGCGCGCGCAGTTTGCATCAAGCTATCTCACAATCGAGAGAGAGAAGAAAGCTGAGCAATCTGTACATGGGAGGAAGACTCAGTCACCGTCATCAAGAAATAGAGGAGTTGATAGTTGAGATGGGTGATTTTTGGTCGTTGTGGAGAGAGTGATAAAAATGGGCACATCGGTGCACCGGGTGCACCATAGACGTTGCCTGGGAATGAAATGATTAGTTTGAAACGTTTGCTATGAAAAAATAAAACCAGGAATTTCAGTCCAAGAGGGCACCTCAGACTAGAATTCAAACTAAATTTCTTCAAAATCCTATTATAACTTTTTTTTATTATAAAAAATCATAATAGTAATGCTGATTAAGCTTCATCTCATGGCCATGATTAATCCATTCAATCTCGACTATTAAAAAAAAACACATCCAACGGCTAATATGTAAATTTGAGGGCTAAATATTTAATATCAATCAATCTAAATTAAGTCCAAACCCAAAGTCTATAAAATGTATGTTTGTGGCTATGTTATGAAATAAAATGTATAGTCTATAAGAAAACAGTAGGAGCGTTGAAGACCTGCTCAGAATGAACTAAATCTTAAATGAGAGGAAGAATGAGAAGGATGAGGAAAAAAGTAGGAGTGTTGAAGAAAAATGTGAACCTCCCAACATAATTTCACCACCATTAATTAAATAATAGAGTTTTATTATTTTAGGTTCAACCCAGTCGAGACGTGGTGTCTCTTAATTACAATCCCTTGCTTTAAGGGAACACTCTTTGATTCCATCATAAAGAAACAAAACGTGTGTGTTTGGTTTTGTGGCTGCTTCTAAGTTAAATCTTAGGGTGCCTATGTATCCCTTGCGGGAATCAAGCCACTCGTAATTCAAAGAATCACAATGAATAAATGACTCATTGCTAGGAAAATTTGATTTGAATTGTATTGAGCTTAAAAGAACCAGGGATTCGATTTTGAATTGTGTTTTGGGGCAAATTTGGTTAAGAAACCAAGGATTCCGTATGACTTGTATTTGACAGCGGTTGCATAGATTGAGCCTAGATTGCCTACATACAATTTTAAATGGATCAAACCAACGTAGTTCAGAAGTTTGGAAAAGTTTTTGGGTGAATTTAATTAAGATAAATCAAATATTCAAATTTGGTTGCGGTTATGTCTATTGGGATGGTAGACTGCACACCAAAACTAAAGACATCAAATTTTACAGAAAATTTCCCATCAACTGCGTACTCTTGACCATATAGCCGCTGCATCAAGATATTCATATATAAGTTTATTTGACTAATAAATATGAATGCGCATCAGCTGAAGATATATATATTTAATGAACTTACTACTTTCTTTGTTTTTCCTTCATTCTCATCACCACCAAAAACTCTGGCTAAGCCGAAGTCTGAAATTTTAGGAGTCATGTTGCTGTCCAACAAAATATTGCTTGCTTTGAGATCCCTGTGAATAATTTTGAGTTTAGAATCTTCGTGCAAATAAAGAAGGCCTCTTGCAATTCCCATAATAACGTTAAAGCGCGCCTCCCATCTTAATAAAGCACTTCTTCTATGATCTACACATCAATTAGCCCTTGTAAATCAAATTGCACCAGATGTTGAAAGGACAGTTTTCTCTCATCTTCGAAACTACATACAAAAGATTAAACCCGGATTCATGGAGGAATTTAATCGAAATTTTAAAAAATCTAAGTAACTAGATGCCAAAAGGCTCAAGAGGCTCAAACCAAAGAATAAGAAATCCAAGCTTCTGTTGGACATATACTCATAGATTAATCCGTTCATCTCCATGAATACAGCAGCCCAAAAGTGAAACTAGATTCCGGTGTTGAAGTTTTGCAATGAAAACTACTTGATTCTTGAACTCTTGTAGATCCTGACCGAGTACTTTGACAGACTGCTATTTCTTGTCCTGCAGAAAAGCTGCCCTATATGTGAACATATTGAGCATGCACTTTTTGTTATAATCAGATGAGCAAGATGGACAGTGAAAGCATATCCCTTCTTGTTTTCTGTACGTACGAAATGGTTACCTTCTTGTTTTCTCGTCCATCTTATGTTTTCTAGAAATTCTTCTCTTCCATATTATGCACCAGATTTTAAGCGCCAAGATAAAGAAGCCAGAAAAGATTGAAACGGCTATGACAATTGTCCATCTCTTCCTCCTTTTTGAACCATGTCTTGATTCTAGAACAATCAACATCAAATCATTCAATCATTGTCAAGAACTATTATGTTTCTCTGCTATGAATACTAGGCACCCATGCATAAATGCTTGCTACATTCGTTTTCTATAAGGAATGCACCCACAAGCTTACGTTGTTAAGGAATGGGCCAACAAAATATATAAAGCAAACAGTTTCTAGCTTAAATATAAATCGGATTAAAAAAGGAGAACAAGATTCAATTGCCAGTCAGTTCATAAATTTTCTAAATGTGCTTAACCCTGAAAAGAGTTCACCTTTTATATGGGTTCTATCTGATCTATTCTGTACACTAAAACAAATACGACATTTTTTTCTGTATAAAAATTATATATATATATATATATATATAAGGGGGGCGGGCGCATCCTAATTCACCATGCAGCTAATACAATTATGAATGACCTCTAAAATTGATTTTTAATTAAACAAGGATAACGGTATAACACCTGGTTCTGAAGGTGGCAATTTTATATAGATATCCTGTTCACTATCTTCATCTATGAACTCTGTGATATCGACTAGATCCCCAAACCACATATGCAACCACTGGCTACTCCACTAATATCTGAATTAGCATAAGCTGTACAAGAACAGTTCATCAAGCACTTCAACCTACATTCCTCAAGATTCATACTCTTGTTCAGTGAAAATTCTAACATGTCAGGCAATTTCACCCCTTGAAGCTGTGAAAATCCCTCTCCACCGTGGCAAACCAACAGCGTCCTCCTCACGCATCCACCAGTTGTATTAAACACTTCCCATTCTTCTTGAGACCTTAGAGTAAACCCTTGCAAACACATACAAATGGGATGACTGTTTCTACAAATACTATTAGCACCACAGTATCCATAATTGTCACATGGATCATTTGGTAATGGATACATAATAGCCCATTCAGTACTCTCAGCATTCAATACAAGCCGCTGCACAGAACCTGACTGATTCATCACTAATTATGAGGCAGCCACATTCTTATTAGGCTCAAACTTGTAATACCACTCATCTTCTTTAAATCCCATAATTTGATGGAAAGCAGAGTTGGCTGGCCTGGGAAGACCATTGATTCGAACTCCATTCCATGGCTCTGTACGGAACTTTATGATTGATCCCATGACAACAACTAATTGTGGTAACCCTTTCATATTAATTTTATAAGAGAAGTTGCCAGTAGATGGATCATCAGTGTTTTTCCATGATGTCAAATACCGTTCTGAACCGGTGTTTATGTTCCAGCTTATCTTCATGTCTGGTAACAATGTATCAGATGGATAATCAAAGCTCTGCCATAAGTAACTTCCAGAACTTGTGCTAACATTGTCCTTTAGAACAAGATTTCCAGAGTCCAAGAGCTGTACAACTGAACTTTTTGGGATTCTTGATATATTTGAAGACCAAATGCTGCTCCCATTTCGATTGAGAAGAACAAAGTTTCCGTCGTTGCTGATAGTCAGATTCCCATATAAACCAGTAAGTGGATTGTTTCTGTTTGCAACCCACACAACTTTGCTTGGTGTACTCTTGTACCATATCACCAAGTACCTGTTCTTGGAGTTGGGCGGAGAAAAGAAGCCTAGTTTAAATCTTTCACCCAAACAAGTTAAAGTCCCAGCATAAGTACTGAGGGACTGGTTTAAAGTTATGCTGTCAGCTGCAGTATAACATTAAGAAAGAAACCAAAGAGGACAAGATCAACAAGGAAGGAAGCAAGCCCATCAACAAATGATCTCACTTACCTTGATATTTTCTGAATAAGGTAACCCCAAAAAAGGCTTTCATTAACAAACCTCAGTGATTTTGGTGAAAGGTTTTCAATATTCTCGATGATCTTCATTGAACAATCGTGTGATAATTATATACAATGCTTTGCTTGGTGTCTACACAAAGGATTTCTTATTCCAGACAAGAATTAAGTCCTTGAGAGACAAGGAATATATATACAGCAAATCTATGAAATAAATACAAATAAAACATGAAACTAAATCACGTTTCATTACACCCCCGCAAGCTGACGGGGCGAGGGAGCACAGGCAGCTTGGACTGAAGGAAAGAAAACCAAGCAGGAGATAGACCCTTAGTGAAGATATCAGCAATTTGATCAACAGTAGAGCAATAAGCAACAAGCAACTCATTGTGCACCGCATTTTCACGAACAAAATGATAATCAACCTCAACATGGTGAGTGTAAGAGTGAAACACAGGATTCGAGGCAAAAGAGAGAGCACTAATATTGTCACACCAAAGCTTAACTAGGGCAAGGAACTAGAAGATGAAGATCAAGAAACAAAGCCCGTAACCAAGACAGAGTGACGGTAGTGTAGGCAAGTTGACGGTACTCCGACTTAGTACTGGAGCGGGAGACACCGAGTTGCTTTTTGGAGCTCCAAGAGATTAAGTTAGTACCCAAATAAAGGCAATGGCTACCAGTGGAGCGACGTTCGTCGAGATCCCTAACATAATAGGCATCAGAATAAGCACTGAGATGAAGGGTGCTGGGCGAATAGAGTAACCCATGAGTAAGTGTGCCATTGAGATAACGAAGAATGCGCTTAACAGTGAGCCAACGAACAGTAGTGGGTTGGTGCATAAACTGACAAACTTGATTAACAGCAAAGGAAATGTTCGGGTGAGTAAGGGTTAAGTATTGAAGAGCACCAACAATACTACGATACTCAGTAAGATCAGAGAGAGGATTGCCATTAGAGAGGCTAAGACGACGGCCACAAGTTTGGCTTTGTGCATGTTAGCACGCTTGAGGAGATCCACAACATATTTGGTATGAGTAAGAGATAGACTGAATGAAGTACGAGTAAGTTCCATGCCTAAAAAATAATGAGCAGCCCAAGATCCTTCATAGAAAATTGATGACCCAAATTAGAAATAAGTGTGGTGATGCCAGCGGGATCGAAGCCAATGACAAGAATGTCATCGATGTAAATCAACAAATAGATGCGAACAGAACCATGAATGTAGATGAAGAGGGAAGAATAGGACTTAGAGGTAATGAATCCCAACTGAACAAGATGAGAAGAAAACACTAAAACCAAGCGCGATGAGCCTGCTTGAGACCGTAAAGAGAGCAATGTAAACAACATACATGATTAGGATAGGCAGGATTCACAAACCCAACGGGCTAGCGCATATAAACCTTTTCATCTAGGTAACAATGCAAAAAAGCATCTTTCAACATCCAATTGATGAACGATCCAACCAAACTGCATAGAAAGAGCCAAGATAAGACGAATAGTAGAATGATTAACAACTGGACTAAAAGTTTCACCACAGTCCAGGCCCGGCTGTTGATGAAAACCATTGGCCACTAAACAAGGCTTGTAATGCTGAATAGAGCCATCAGAATTCCTCTTGACACGAAAAACCCACTTGTTCAGCAACACATTCATAGTGGGAGTAAGAGGGACCAAATTCCAAGTCTCGGCATGAAGAAAAGCATTAAACTCATCTGCCATAGCAAGACGCCATTCCTGATGCTTATTAGCCTGTGGAAAAGAGGTAGGCTCAAAAGTACCATTAGTAGAAGATAAAACCAACGCATGATTAGCATATTTAGGATTGGGTTTACAGATACCGGTTTGAGCATGAGTAACCATCGAATGAGCATGGGAGTCACTTACCAGAGACGTATCAAAAATAGGAGAAGAAGATGTACCATATGAAACATGAGCAAGAGGCAGGAAGAAAAGTTTGTGGTTGGGGTTCCTAGTGTAGGTCTGAGAGAATCGAGAAGCTGAAGGCACAGGGTGACTAACCAGCGGGTGAGAAAGGCATGAGGGATCAGTAGGCACGGCAGGGGAGGTGGGCGCAAGAGCAGGTGCGGCATGGGTGATGACATAGATGGACTGGACAGGGCTGGAAGCATGAGTTGCTGTGGAGACGAGAAGGTCAGGTGCTGGAGAAGATGGACTAGGCAGAGGCTGCGACGCTGGAAGGCGTGGGCTGCAGGAAGACAAACTTGGGCCACAGAAGATGATAGGCAGGTCCAACAACGAAGAATGGTCTAGAGCAAAAGCAAGGGCAGCATGGGCCTTGTTAAACGGAAAAGAAAATTCATCAAATAAGACATGACGTGATAATAAAAAACACGATTAGAAACAAGATCCAATCATCGATAACCCTTATGGTTCAAAGAATAACCAAGAAACACACATTTGGAAGACCGAAATTGTAATTTATTATTATTATTATATGGCCGTAAATAAGGAAAACATGCGCACCCAAAAGTTTTTAAAAAAGAATAATCAGGTTCTTTGTGAAACAACAATTCATAGGGTGATTTGTGCTAAAGCAACTTAGAAGGAAGACAGTTAATTAAATAAACAATGGTGTGCATGGCCTTGGCCCAATAGGAAGGACGCATAGAGGCATGGGCTAAAAGAGTGAGCCTGGTGTCAACAATGTGACGATGCTTACGTTCGACTAAACCATTTTGCTCAGAATGATGTGGACAAGAAAGATGATGATGAATGCCATGATGAGAATAAAAAAAATCCTTAAATTGATGATTAGTGTATTCCCCACCCCCATCGGATTGAAATGCCTTAATCGTAGTGGAAAACATATTTTTTAACCAAAGCCTTAAATATAACAAAGTGAGAGAAAACTTCTGATTTCAATTTCATTGGAAAAATCCAAGAATAACGAGAAAAATCATCAACAAATAAAACATAATAATTAAAACCATAATTATTTTTATTTGAAGAATTCCATACATCAGAGTGAATAAGTTCTAGTGGAGAAGAAGAGACAGAAAAAGAAGGACTAAAGGGTAATTTAACACTTTTACCCAACGGATATAAGTGACAAAAAGAACTAGACCAAGAGCCAAAAGATGACAATTTATTATGAGATAACAAAAATTGCAAAGTAGACGAAGTAAGATGACCAAGGCGAAAATGCCACACGGAGCGGTCAACATGGACTCCTAGCAAAGCAACATGATCATGCAAAACTTGAAAAGACTCATTCGGTGTAAACGAAAAGGGATATAGGTCATTGCTATTGTTGCATGAGAAAAGTGTCCTCCCCGTCACCAAATCTTGGATAAAATAACAATCAGGAAAAAAAATTGAAGAAACAATAGTTGTCAGTAGCAAATTTATGAACAGATAAGAGAGGAAGAAAGGCGTCGGGACAATGAAGAACATCATTAAGATGAAAGGAAAAATTAAGGTGAGAGAAACGAAAGTGACCAATATTTTTAATTGGCAAACCTGTTCCACCAAGTACACCTCCAACATTATCATAACCATGATACTTTCTAGCAAGGGATAAGTGGCTCCAATCGTTGGTAATATGAGTGTTCGCTCTAGTATCAGTGACCCACTGTTGATGGCCACCATGCAAAGGAAATTTGTAGTCATGCCTTGAAGACAAGATGGAGGAGGAGGCACATAAGATGTCTTGTAGGGACAGACAGCTACGATGTGGCTAAAACCATGACAATTGAAACATTGAAAAGACCCACGGGCAGAAGGAGGCCCAAAAGAGGAAGCAGTAGAGCCAGAATGAGGTAGGCATAGAACACCCGGCCAAAAGTGCTACCAAAATGTTGTGGATGTGAGGCAGGATGAGAGGCGTCATAGGACGCTCCAAGGGAATAGGGACCAGAAGAAAAACCAGGTCTTGAGGGAGAGAATAAGCTGCGACGATCAAGACCACTACTAGCAAACCCACCTCGATGGCCAAAACCGCAGCCACCACGGCCACTGCAACCACCACAGGAAGCTATCAGAGTCGTCGCACCAGAAAAGATGACCAAAGAAGAAGAGGATTGTAGGTGACATTCCGCAGACAAGAGGAGAGCCTCAAGATCAGGCATACTGATGGGTTTCTCACGAGCTTGAGTAAAGGCAACATTATTTTCATAAAGAGGACCAACGTTGTTCATAATCACAGCAAAAAGATCAGAGTCAGCAACTGAAGCTCTAACTAGAGCCAAGTTATCGACAATCGATTTAATACGATCAAGGAAATCAGTGATGGAAGAGTCGCCATGGGTTGTGCGAAGCAAGTCACTACGAAGTTGAAGAAGAAGATTCTGATTCGGAGAAGCAAAACTATTTTCAAGAGCCACCCAAGTGTCATGGGCGGTACTCTTGGGAGCTACGGTGGTGAGAACTTTATGGTGAAGAGAACCATTGATGAGAGAGAGAACAAGCTAATCTTTCTGGACCCAATCATCATACTCTAGGTTGGGGATAAGAGATCAAGAAACAAATTCATTGGCCTTAGCCTTTGGGTGGGGATGGTCGGAGAAGGACACAGAGAAGTGTCGTCAACAAAGTCGAGCAAGCGGTGGCTGCAAAGGACATGAACAATTTGAGCAAGCCACATCGGATAATTATCACGCTCAAGATGAATGGAGATAACATGATGAATGCTAGGAAAATCAATAGAGGAGGAAGAAGCCATGGGTGGCCCAAAAAAAAAAGGAACAAGAAGATTGAGGATCGAGGATTATGAGACTTAGGCTCTTGATACCATGAAACGTTTTGAATATTCTCGATTATTTTCATTGAACAAATGTGTGATAATTATATGCAATGCTTTGCTTTGTGTCTACACAAAGGATTTCCTATTTTAGGCAAGAATCAAGTCTTTGAGAGACAAGGAATATATACAACAAATCTATAAAATAAATACAAATAAAACAGGAAACTAAATCACGTCTCATTATTTGGTACTTGATGAATTAATGGGGTTTGCAAATTCATTTTCGTCTATGGGTCCAATTAGGGGCATGTAGTCAAACATTTAAAAGAGAGGTGTTGTTGATTATTGACAAAAGAAACAACTTGCTAAGTAAACTAGCCGTCATGGTGTAACATCTCACGTCGACTAACGGAGAGGGGGTAATGTGCCTTATATGTACATGCCCACCTTCATCTAGCATGAGGCCTTTTGAGAACTCACTGGCTTCGGAGTCATGGGAACTCTGAAATTAAGCGAGTTTGGGCTAGAGCAATCCCAGGATAGGTGACCCACTGGAAAGTTGCTCGTGAGTTCCCAGAAACAAAACCGTGAGGGCATAGAAGGGGGTCCAAAGCAGACAATATCATGCTACGGCGGAGCCAATCCCGGGATGTGACAATTTGGTATCAGAGCCACTCTGTCGTGTGGTGCGAGTGTGCCGACGAGGACGTCTGGCCCCTAAGGGGAGTGGATTGTAACATCCCACACCGACCAACGGAGAAGGGGTGATGTGCCTTATACGTACAGGCCCACCTTCATCTAACACGAGGCCTTTTGAGAGCTCACTGGCTTCAGAGTCATGGGAACTCCGAAATTAAGCAGGTTGGGGCTAGAGCAATCCCACGATGGGTGACCCACTGGGAAGTTGCTTGCTAGCTTTGAGATCCCATTGGATTTTTATTTTTATTTTTTATAGCATCTTTCCTATAGAGATGGGCTATAACATACTAAGCTTACACACATTATACCGATGCTAGGACTCAAACCCAGAACTTTTCCTCGGGTTCAATTGCTCCAAGCCATTTGATTTCAGTTTAGAATCTTGGTGCAAATAAAGGATACCTCTCTCTCAATTCCTATAATAATGTTGAAGATTTGGGATGGGAGAAGCGCTTCAACGTTATTATGGGAAATTGGTAATTGTGAGAGGCCTTGTAAATCATATTGCAAGAGATCTCGAAAGGATCTTTTTCTTTTTCCTTTTTCTTTTTTGGCTGGAAATCTTTTATTGTCTTTTAAACCTATATCTATATGCAAGAAGGGTTTAAGCTCCAATAAGCAAAACCTAAATAACTAGATGCTTAAGGCTCAAGAGGATCAAACTGATGATGAAAAGCTCCAAGCTTTTTGTTGGGCATGTATTCGTAGATTAACTTCCTTTCATCTCCATGAATACAACAAGCCAAAAGCAAATGAAATTCTGGCAATCAAAACTACTTCATTTTTTAAGCGAAATTCTAAAATGAGGCCTCCATATATGAACCTTAGAAGTGGACCACAAATATCTCAAAAGGTGTATTTGATAGTGAAAGAATTTGACAAGATCAAAGTAATCCAACAGCTAAAACTAGGTCCCCACTTGAAGTCCATGTATATGAACCTTATTATAGAACGACTCCATTCTTGAAATCTTCTAGACCATTTCCTGGTTAATGGATTGATAGTCGACCCTTACGCAACACCCAAAGCCCAATTCATCCAACTTGGGCCTGCTTTAAACAAATCTCAGCCCAAATTTGTTTTGCGTGTATATATATAGTAATACAAGAGATAGCCTAAACTACATGAGATAGGGAAATTTCTCACACACACGCTATCAAAGTGCCATAGAAGTACCTAAGACCAGTGATCTGTAAATTAATACTCTTTTCCACTGTGTTTTGTGTATGTGTATTGTACTAGCAAGTATGATAGAGAAATTGATTGTTGGTAACATGAATTGACAAGATCAAGGTAATCCAGTAGCTAAAACTAGGTCCCCACTTGAAGTCCATGTATATGAACCTTATTATAGAACGACTCCGTTCTTGAAATCTTCTAAACCAGTTCCTGGTTAATGGATTGATAGTCAACCCTTATGCAACACCCAAAGCCCAATTCATCCAACTTGGGCCTGCTGTAAACAAATCTCAGCCCAAATTTGTTTTGCGTGTATATATATAGTAATACAAGAGATAGCCTAAACTACATGAGATAGGGAAATTTCTCACACACACGCTATCAAAATGCCATAGAAGTACCTAAGACCAGTGATCTGCAAATTAATACTCTTTTCCACGGTGTTTTGCGTATGTGTATTGTACTGGCAAGTATGATAGAGAAATTGATTGTTGGTAACATGAATTGAAAATCCACTATTGTCCTTTGAAGAATGGCAATAATTGAAAGAATGCATTGAAAACTTGGAATGTCAGTCATGCCATTGAGATTTTTTATTTGGGTGTAAAACCACTCTCCCTAGTACCTAGCAGATTTTGAAATGTTCATTTTGCCCCTTGAAACAAAAACCAATATGATATAAAATTTTGATAGGTTTTTTTAAGTTGAAATTTTTTTAGCTTTCTAAACTACCATAATCTATGGAGTGGGGAATTCGAATTTGGGTGCAAGTGATGTAGAACATATGGTAGAAGCAATCAAAGAGGAACTGGAGAAACGCATGCACAAGGGTTAATCGGGCAAACTGCCAATTTGGGCTCCGAGCTCAGAATCAAGCCCATGATCCGTCAATTCGAAGAGAATAGTGTCACGAGTAAAACTCATCACTCCGCCATGACGTATGGGCTTTTTCGGACATCAAGAGTTACATGCTCTAAGCTAAGGTTTTAGCCAATTTATTACCACACTATGTCAGCAAAAGTGCACACTCATTGTCATAGTCAACTGGCCTAACTCACATCTTGCTCATGTATTAATTTAGCTTTAGTATTTTACCATAAACAATAAACCATATATGAGTATATTCAATTAGAGCATCCACAATGGGCTCCCTAAACCACCTCCTTAGACAAATTTTAGGGAGAATTTGGAAAAACACAACTCCAACCATGCTCCCTATTCACCTCCTAAACTAGGGAGACCTCTAGGAGCTCCTAAATCTGAGGAGAGATAAATGACTCTTAGTAACTCCCTATAATTTAATGCTGCTTTATTTATTGAGTATTTCAAACTTTTAATTAATGTTAATTATTTTTTATATTATTTTTTAATAGAGATGGACCAATTAAAAAATAGTTATAGCATTTATAACTCCCTAAACTAGAGAGCATGATTAGAGTTTAAATTTTATAGAGAGCTCCTAAATTACCTTTATATGTTTTTAGCTAAAATTTAACAAAAAAATAGAAAGCATGATTGTGGATGCTCTTAGATTTGTAAATTGTAATTCATGGCTTGAAATACATGGTTAGCAGGAATCAGGAGCGCCAAAACGCAATGAGTAATCTGAAATATATGTTGTGGCTGTAATCTAACAAGGAAGAAGGATAAGAAGGAAGCTGCACTGAAATTTCCCCTTTTGTTGGGACTGATGCAAGCAACCAAATCAATGTGAACGTTACCTCATCGACTCATCACCATCAAATTTAGCTTTGAAATATTTTAACAACGAAGATTTAGTTTAAAACAAAAGTGCAACATCAGCATGGTGCAATTATAATTTATATGTGATGCAAACAAGCTGGAGAAGAGAAGGGCTGCCTATACTTCTGAATGCACTTGCTAATCTAGTTGGACGTATTTCAGATGTCACTATGCCAAAATTGACATTTAGCAATGGATAATATCTGTTGTCTATATACCCATTCTACCATGGTATTGGTGATCGATGCATATTACCATGTAATAGGCATGGGACATTATCCGTTGTCTTTATACATTTACGAATAAGTTCTTTCAAATACACCGATGTTTATGGTCCTACCGTGTAAACGTAAGTGCTGATTTTCTTGGGTTTTAACTTTATGTTTATGTATATTATTATATATATATATATATATATATATAAAGTAAAATGGAGAGAATGGTGAAATATTCCAAATACTAAAAAATGTTCTTGGTTAGTCCAAACATTAATAATTGAAATTATTAATTAAATTAGGATAATATGGTAAATTCACATTTTTAATATTAAAAAAATAAAATTAAAAGAAAAATCAAATCATGGATCCTATTTTTATGGAATACAACTACCCATTATCTTTTTGAATTCTAAAATAAGTTTAAAGTTTTTTTAAAAAAAGCCTCTCGTAGGCAGGGAAGGACTGTACTATATATTAAATATTTTATACATATTTCAATTGTTAAGAAAAGCCTCTCGCACACATGATATATACGTGATTGTAGGACAGTACTATATATTTTATACATATTCCAATTGTTAACTGTGGCTTTTATTTTTTATTTTTTGGTACTGTTTATGGTCATATATTGCTTTCTTATAAAAAAAATATACATTATGTGTTAGTGTATTTTATCTGTTATATAGAATTTACTAATGTCTCATGGTTAGACTACCAAATATGACCAACATGTAACCATCGATAAAGAAAATTGAATCACTAATGTAACGTTGTTAGACTGCTAATTACAATATGACGATGCCTTTGTGTGAGAATATGTATACCAAAAAGAAGAAGAAAAAGAAGAAGGGAGAAGGGAAGGTTTTTGGTTTTCGATTATGATTTCCGCCGGAAGTTGTAACCTCTCAAGGATGGAAGTATCCTTTCATGATATGTTGTACTACTTATCAATAAGTTTTGTCCTGTACATGATAAGTTCATGGTTTTCGCCTTATTATACCTTTTGGTTATGTGTATGTGCACCTCTCTATAAACACATATTGTATAAACCCAACATTATCATGATCATCATATTCCACCAAATAAGTGAGTCCTTTGTACTGAAAAAACAACATATACGGCTCGATGAAACCATATTCTAGGCTCATGAAATGGCAATGATGTTATTTACTCATATTATAATACGTGAATTAATAAAATCACATGGCAGTGTGACTATTACACTTAAAAAATTTCAATCCATTCTCGTGTAGTAAGTTTGTTAAAACTCAAAAACTAAAAATAGACAACAACAAAAATAAAACACAATTGTGTTTATCCGTAAGTTATTTGTCATTTAGTCAAGAAAACAAAGCATGATTTTTAGTATGGCTAATCTGTAATTTCCTCTCTCCTTAAAGTTTGTAACTTTATAGACTCGCACCAATATGCCTAAGATCCCCGAGATCCCATGCAGCTTCCAGGAAGGAGAAGCTCATCACAGAACCAAAGAAAAAGAAAGAAGAAGTTGCCTACAGTTAACAGGAGCTACCAAGAAAGTCACACAAAATAATTAAATTCATTATTTTCCTCATATATTTCTACCTCACTCACTCATCAATAAATAGCCCCCCCTCCGGCCTCCATATCCTCCACCCCCATCTCTCAACAACTTCATACAAATTAGTTTGGAATATTTAAATTAGCCAAACCATGATATCGTTAGATCATCACCACATGATGAGCGCAGTTGAATTTGTGGACTATTTTCCGTCCATGATCGCGAGGCTGGGAGAAGAAGGGTTTATTGGGGAGCTCTGCAATGGGTTTGTTTTGCTGATGGATGTGGAGAAGGGGCTCATCACCTTTGAGAGCTTGAAGAGGAACTGCGTTGTGCTGGGCTTGCATGACATGGGAGATGATGAGCTTGTGTGGATGTTGATGGAGGGTGATTTGGATGGAGATGGGGCCCTCAGTCAGATGGAGTTTTGCATCCTCATGTTTAGGTTAAGTCCAGGTTTGATGGATGGATCTAAGCAGCTGTGGAAGGAAAACTTTGATCATCCTCCTCATCATGTAAATGATCATCAAGTACATGTTGGAGGCTTCCAATGATCATGTCTCTTGTCATATCTTGTTTAATTAATAACTTTGATGCAGTTGTATCAATGCAATGTTCTTTGGTAATTCAATCAATCGGAAGATCCATCTTTATTTTCAACCATGTGATATGCGTATTTCAAGTACTTTTATGTCATGTAATTGATCAAACCCACTGTGTAAATCAAGAACGCAAATGGTTTAGGTATATAGCTTGGTGTTGTGATTGGTAGTTGTTTTCTCTTAAGTGCACTGGCAGATTCAGGTGTGTTGGAGAATGTGATTTTTGGAGAAACGTTCATGTGCTAATGTGTTTCTGATTTTTGGGGAATTTCTGTTTTTAGCGAAAGATCGGTGGGTCTCTATATGCAGCGATGCTTACTTGTGTGGTGGTGGTTATCCCCTTCTTTGTGGCCATTATGGTGCAGTCTCCGTCCCTTTTGCTGGTGACGGTGGCTTTGTGTTGTAATTTGGTTTGATTTTGTGATGGGGAAGATTATTATACTAGACTCCTGGTTTTAGTCTAATCTTCCATGTGTTTGTGGTAATTTGTTCATGTGATATGTGTATTTCAAGTACTTCTATGTCATGTAATTGATCAAACCCATATTCCGTGTAAATCAAGTACGCAAATGGTAGAAATTAATGCACTTGGTTTCTCAATTAGTTGACATGGTGAAGGGTTTAAGCTTTTAATCTTTCTGTTGTTTTGGTAAGATCTCGTGTGATGGTCTTTTGTGGGTTTAATAAAGACTTTGTTTAACCGAGGTTATATTTTTAGTTCTATACACTGATACACAACATCTCAATGGAGATTAATTTTGGGAGATTCACTAATATACCCAATATGGGGGCCCAAATTATAAAAATACCTCATATGAAATGAACTTTATAAACACACCCAAACCTATTTACAACATAACAAAGAGGCCTTAACTTCTTATAAATTACAAAACTACCATAAATTTCTTAAAACAAGCCCAACCTCAAAATCTCATAAAAATACCCAAAACACTCAATAGGGCATTAAAGTAATTTAATAATCAATATTAAATTCAATAAGGCCAGCTATCATTTTTGGGGTTTTTTTTTGGGTTTGTTTATAGAAATTCAATGATGGAGGGTTTATCTATAATATTAGTGCTAAGAATGGGTATATCACTAAATATCTCATTAATTTTTCACCATTTGATGGCCTCATGCAGTGAGAATATACATGAAAATCATTTGAACCATGAGAGAAAGCAACTTTCAAGAAAAGTTTTGTAATCTAATTAACTTTTCACATGATCTCAATCATTTCAATAATGGATCCATCGGAGCTTGAATCTCCCTCCACACAAGAAAAGTTTGAATCTCCCTCCACCATTAACCAAAAAGAAAAAAGCTAATGCAAAATCCCCTCCCCTTTTGAGTCCACATGTTCAAGCCAACTAGCTGTAACTCTGCAAGACTCGTGTGATATTTTGTTTATAAAGTACTTGTAGGGAACTAGGGCTATGAGTTTCCTTCACTTTACCTCGACATGTCTTTTCTAGTAGGAATATTGAAACCCACCTCACTATCTTTTTTTTTTAAATCAACGTAAGATGTGTCAACATGTTGAACTTATACACTATTGATTTATAACCCAAGCTAATTTTCTGATATCGCTATTTTATTTATTTAAGAAACACTATTTTTTTTCTATGTTATCTGTGGTTGATAATTTTTTTAAGACAATGGAATTAAATTTTGGAACTCAAATTTGTTCGTAAAACATACAATTGTTGGATATCTATATGGAGAACAGTAGCAAATGTTAATAAGCAAACATGCGCAATTTACACCTTGATTGACGGCTTTGGAGAAAAATGACAAAAGTACTTTTTCTTGGGTTTAGATCAATGGACTTTGGCAGACTAGAAGCACTAAAAAGATTTGTGGATTTGCAAGTGGACGTGAGTTATTTATGAATTAAGGCTACCCACAAAAAGTTGAGGCGTTAAGTCCTTGGTTTTACAGTACTGCAGTCAGTGGGCTTTTGGCTTAAATACAAATAAATAAATAATATAAAATTATGTTATGCCTTTCAGTCTGCTTCAAGGTAGGGTTCCAAATTGCCCAACATGAAACATACATAAAAAATAATTGGATATTAATTACATATTACTATTTAGTTCAATAACATCTTTTTTTACCGATTGAGAAGGGGGTTTATATAAATATTTATTAAGTGTCTGTGGTTTCAAACTTCTGCCCATGTAAATGGAGGTTAAAAGAGTTCAACCAACTGGAGCTATACCCTACTGACAACTATAGGTAACGCTTTGTCCATAAAGGTCGTATAATTATAAATATACAGATATGCATGCAACTTCCGGGAAGGAGAAGAAAGCTCTCTCCACGAAACCAATGTGGTTGCCAAAAACCCTCAACAAAAACAGCAAAAAAAACAAAGAACATTAAGAAGGTTGGAAGAAGCTCCCCGATAAAACATTGCATATAGCCTGGGACCTGGCCCTTTGGTCCCTTCCCTTTTGATTGTGTTGTTTGCAGCATGTAATTAATATGCATATCATATAATGATTAATATGGTTGGCTCCTCAGCAATGCCAGTATATATTGCCCTCCCTTTTCCTGGAAGTTCTCTCCCTCAATTTCGTCCACTCGCTTTTTGTCTAAATATCTTGTCTCTGTCTCTCTCTCACATACACATCTTCCATATCTCATCTCACTCATCACTTTCTTCACTACCTTACAAGCTATGAATATGATATGATCAGCTACCTCTCATCTTTTTCACGTGCAAATTTCCTCTTACAATAAATAAATAATTTACATGTATACATAGGTGATGTCATGATGAGGTTATTGTTGTTGATATATTTCATTTGGTCATCGGATAAGTAGGGGTCATCATTTGGCCTGCGACTTATGGGTTGAAGTGGGTAGCTCGAGATTTAATGGGACAAAGCTCATTCTGGCATGATGGTTAGGCCCGTTCAGCCCTGAGTCGATTTAAAATTAATTCGAATTGATTTGGTGGTGTAATTCGATAACCCAATTATATTCTAAATCCATTAACCCGTTATGTTAACGGAACCAATTTGGATCTTGCCTAATCCAATCTGATAATGATTCGATTCGATTTGATATAACATATATTTCAATTTATTTTATTTTCACTTACTTTATATATATATGTAACAATCTTGTGAATAAATAAAAATATTTTTCAATTATTTGAATATATGACATAAAAGAATTCGAATCTGGTATCAGATAATTTAACAAATTGAATATGGATCTAGTTGTTAATGATTCATCAAATTTTCAAATCGGATCATATCAGAATTTTTTTAAATCGAGTAAGGTCGGATTTCAAGTGCTCCGCTCCATCTCCGATCCGTTTACAGGCCTAGGAGGGGTACATTTTCCCCCTATTTTCCCATTTTTCAGGCAACCATTTCCTATGTTTAGACTTACCAAATATGAGAAAGAAATTGATTACCATCTACAAGCCTTCTTTCCCATAAACCAAACGTAACATGAAGGAAAAATACTATCAACATGCCCCATATATGTGAGGCATGTATAACACATGAACAACACAATAAAGAGTCATATATATATATATATATATATATATATATATAGGGGACGGATCCGTGGCACCATGTTTTTTACACAAGTTTTGACACAATTTTTGAGCCATTAGATTATTCCACTTTTAATGGTTGAGATTAAATCTGACATGACAAATAGTTTTAATGTTTTAAATAAACAATCATTAATTTTATTTTATCTCTCATAAAAATAAAATAAAATAATTTTCTCTCTCCTCCCTTTTTTCTTGGAAACGTAATCTCTTTTCTTGGTAGTATCATTTTTACTTGGTATATACCTCTCTCTCTTTCTTAGGATCAGAAAAAAAAACCTCCATCTTTTTTCCCTCTCTCTCTCTCTCTCTCTCTCTCTCTCTCCAGTATGAATTCTCTACTCCATTTTTATTCCATTTTCATGTTTCTTAAAACTAATACGTTTTGAGGGATCCCTTAAATAGAAGCTCTCTGTATATTATATATGTAATTCAAGTAGTTATGTATTCAGTATCTTATTTGTGCATTTGTTCGTAGTCAACAATTCATTGGTTTTAAGTCTATTCATACTTTCTTTTTGTTTTTAATTATGATTTGCATATGTTGTATGACAAGAAGCAATACATGAAGAACGCTATCACCGCCAACTACAGTAGTCAAGAATTTATGGTTGCAATTTTTAAAACCGTCATCCTCTTATCCTTATTCTCGACGATCCAATCGTAGAGTGATTTGGTGATTGAAAAAGCAGTCCCCATGTTAGAGATGCAGTGATTTTCAAACGGAAAAAATAAAATATTTTTTAGAGATGCAGTGCAAAAAGTTTATGCCGAACAATATAACCTTTATTGGTGTTTTGTCTGCTTGTAACCATTGTGGTCTGGTAGAGGAAGGGAAAAGATGGTTTAAAGAAATGGAGGGCTTTGGGCTTATCCCCCAAATTGAGCAATATGGTTGGATGGTTGATCTTTTGGGAAGGGCAGGATGCTTGGAGGAAGTCGACAAATTGATTGAGAGAATTCATAAGGTTGGTTTGCAATTACCGAAGAGAGAGAGAGGGAAAAAAGATGGAGGTTTTTTTTCTGATCCCAGGAAAGAGAGAGAGAGAGAGAGAGAGAGAGAGAGAGAGGTATATACCAAGTGAAAAAGGATACGACTAAGAAAAGAGATTACGTTTCCAAGAAAAAAGGGAGGAGAGAGAAATTTATTTTATTTTATTTTAATGAGAGAGAAAATAAAATTAATGATTTTTTATTTAAAACATTAAAACTATTTGTCATGTCAGATTTAATCTCAACCATTAAAAGTGGAATAATCTAATGGCCCAAAAATTGTTTCAAAACTTGTGTAAAAAACATGGTGCCACGGATCCGTCCCCATATATATATATATATATATATATATATATATATATATATAAAGAAAGTCTGCAAGAGAAGCAGTTTTGTTAGGGTTTGGATAGCATGGGATTATGTCCATTTCATTTGCATGTGTATTGAACTCAAATTGTACATCAAAATCCTTACATTATATATAGCAGCGTACGTACTAGCTTGCAAGACGGATCCCTACAAGCACAAGTTTTTAACAATACGGAGTCTATCGTGCTTCACTACTAATTATACTCTTAACACATCAGAAGAACTGACTCATTAAGACCATAAAAAGAAAAATAAAACAATTTATACATGTGTTCAACGTTGAAATATAAATGAATAAAATATTTATAATTATACCACGTAACCGTATTCCAGTTCAGTATACCAGCATTGCACAGTGTTAGTGTTACCATCACCTATCTCCAATTTAATAAGTCTAAAGAACCCAACTTTTTCCTACAATCTTAACACAGAATGGGCCTTTAGAGCATTTTGCATTACTAGGCTCCTCCCACGACAAAAACGATCGTATTACAAAGAGAGAGGCCCAAGTTTCTTCCACATCTTTCTTTTTTATTTTCCAATCATCATACAATAATATGTCAAAAGAAAATTTTATCATACATAAAAATATTTAATTAGAAAATTTTCGAATGGGAAAATTTTGCATGCTAAATTATGGGTGGACCTTACTGCACATCACTAGCCATCACCTTTCTATTAAATTTCAGAGAAACGGGTCATTGGTCTACTACTAGCAACATTGATATTGTTTCTAACTCAACCACATATAAAGCTCAATAAGTGTGAAATTTTATCACAAAAAGTCTCAATGATATTAGTAGTAGAACTATTCATTATATATTGTATTTTACTTAGTTAAGTTTCCGATATAAGACTTATATTTTTCAACACTCTCATCTTTGCTTTGCTTTGGGAGTTGAATTATTGGATTTTGGATTTATTGCCAAAGAAAAAGAAACATGCACCTTCCCCTCTGTCTTGATCCAGAGAACCTCTCTCTCTCTCTCGCATATCTTCTTCAACCTTCCTCCCTCTCACCGCAAACACTTCTCTTCCACACAATTCCAATACAATTCCTTTGCCCCACTGCTTTGTCTCGACAAATTACAACTGCCCATACCTCCACCTCCTCAGCAACGCCAAAGATTTCCCCCACTTATGTAATCATATGCCGCCTATAGGACCATCACGTGAAATTACCATATCATCCATCGTATGCCACAATAGCCTTCTTTTGTTTCGTGGGACAGTTGATCTAATTCAAAGTCTCGGACTATGAAATTAAGGTAATTAATTGGATATTTCGATTTTGATTACAATTTACATGATATACACACTCATTAACAACGTTCAATCTCGTTTAAAATCAGTATAAAACAACACACATAGATTAGGCCGGTTGATTAAAGCAGTGAACCAGTCTTCTTATATGTAAGTTCGAATTCCCTTCCTTAAAAATTAGATTAATTTAGAATAATTTAGGCTATATAAGTTATAACCAGTCACATAAATGACATAATTATAAAATGAAAAATTTGTTTAACTCGCCATTAAGAAAACGAGTAATTTTTCTCATTTCCTAATGGAAGAAACTAATACCGTTTTATCTAGTAAATAATCCTTTACTAATGAAAGAAATTAATTTTGTGTATTATATTTATATATATATTCCTTAGGACATGGACACAATACCGCCATGACTCCAACCCTTTCCCTACCCATAACCTCATGGGCCCCCTCCTAATATTTCTTTTCCCTATTTTATATTAGACTAAATAAACCAATAATATCTCCCTATCGGCTAAAATAAATGGATTAAAAAAACCAAAAGATGTGGCCAAATAATTATTACTCATTACATTAAGACAGAGCCGAAAGCCGAGGCATGGATAGAATTAGGTAAGGGTCTATGGGCCCAAGCCAAAGGTAACATCCGTAAGACGGAGCCCACATGGGCGTCACGTGTCCTCAAGGCCCCTTGTGGCGTGCGACCCATCCACGTAGGCGACACTTGGAATCCGGAGGCGCCCACCGGTTGTACTGTGGGTCCGCCACGTCAGCATCGAATCCAAGGAAAGAAAATATCTGGACTCAGCGCCGGTAATTGCTCCAAGACCAAGACACGCAAACTTTCGCTCCCCAAACTATGCGACACGTGGTGCTCTTGGGTGGATGCTGGCTTTGTAAATTTGTAGTGGTAGGCCGAGTACATAGGATTGTAGGGGAGCGCACATACCATCCCAACTCGTCCGCCAACAAACTATTGCCACGCGGAGGACGATGCTTTCTCACGTGCTGATCACGTGAGCTTTGTATGTGTGGCCAGAGTTAAACTGAATTTGAAATGCGTGGACCTCAGTGCAGGGTATAAAAACTAAACGGCTGCGGGGCATGTCGTAAAGAAGAAGCTAACGAAACAACTTCGAAGGAACTGGTGAAGATATTTTCCCAATTTGCTTCATTCGCCGTAGAAAGACGCAAATAGCCTTGATCCCACTGTCGTAGGCACTACAAAGTCAGGGAATTATATCTGAAATAGAGGGCTGTTTCCGTAACCCACTGCAACGCTGCAACTTCTCCCATATATCTTGCTCTGCTCTGCTGTTGAGAGACAGATAAACGAAGAAGCAGAAAATGAGAGAGTGCGAGCTGTGTGGACTGAGAGCTCGGATTCACTGCGAGGCGGACCAGGCGAAGTTATGCTGGGACTGCGATGAGAAAGTTCACGGAGCCAATTTTCTGGTGGCGAAGCACCCGAGGAACCTCCTCTGCCATGGTTGCCAGTCGCCGACTCCATGGATGGGCTCGGGACCCAAGCTCACGCCGACCGTCTCGGTCTGCGAGATTTGTGTCGAAAGGCGTGGAATTAAGTTTCAGCGGCACGAGGATCAAGAAAGCGAAGCAGAGAACGAAGACGATGTTGATCTTGATGACGAGGATGATGATGATGATGGTGGTCATGATGGTGAAGATGCTGATGATGATGCTGATGATGATGATGATGGTGGTCATGATGGTGAAGATGCTGATGATGATGCTGATGATGATGAGGAGGATGAAAATCAGGTGGTTCCGTGGTCTAGTTCGCATTCGGCGGCGGCAGAGCCTCCGCCTGCGGTGAGTTGTTCGAGTAGTGAAGAAGAAGAAGAAGAGGAGGAGGAATTTTTGGTGGTGTCGAAGCGAATGCGAGAGAATGCGGATCCAGATTCTGATTTGGGATGCGACGAAACGTCGTCGTTGGCTTCGCTGGGGCTGTTGAAGCGAGCGAGACTGGGCGAAGAGAACCGTTTACTGAGTGAAAGATCAAGTGAAGCGGAGTTAAGATCAACGGCGATCGTGAGCTCAATTGACAGTCTTCAAAATCAAACGGACGTGATCAGCGACGGTGATGATCCTGCGTCCGCCGCGGTCCTCGGGATTTGCGAACCCAGAAGAGATGGTCAGAGCCGTTGATATTAATTCATTTTAAATTCCTAACCACACAATACATAGTGCTAGTTGTTGGATTGAATGTTGATATTGTCCATAATAACCATATGAAATTAATATTTGACCTCTTCATTTTCCAATTAATGTAAGATTAAGATTCGCTCCAATTTAATTAATGTTGACATTTTGGTGTGTATTTGCAAAATTAAGTCTCAACCTCAGAAATAAAATAAATTTATATGTGGGTGGGGGCCTCAGTTGATTTTTTCCCAAAAAAAACGCGGATTGAATGGAGATGGAGAAGATGTGGTGGCAGTTGATAACTTGTGGAACTAGTGGCTGATGGGATAGCAAAACTCCTCCTTATTTTAATGTATGGTATGAGGAGGAGGAGGCTTTGTCTAGTTTTTGTTTTGTTTGGTGAAGAAATGGAAATGTTTTTATTTGTGTTGGTTGAGCTTTTGACTTATTTCAGTTCTTGGAGGATATAATGTTATTTGGTTTTTAATTGTCACTTGTACCACTCGTTGTTTGTGTTGTGTTCTTGTGAGGAACATATATACAGGATGCATGAGTTGATGAGGCAGAGCCCGCCAGCCCCAACATGTAAATAGAAGAATGAGTTATGCTAGCATCAGTTGTCCACATAATACGTGTTTGTGAGGTGCGTTTGCGTGTGAGTCTTATGAGCTATTTGTTACTCACAATTACTTACGTGCCCGTGGATGACTGATGTTAGCTTCTCTTAAAAAGAAGATAAGCTACTACCATCTACGTCTAGAATGTCGGACCTCAGTCTACCATGATATCATACTTTTTTCCATGAATTGACAGGGTAGACCCAAAACCCAATTCTCAAGGAGATTGGATAAGATTAATCTTAATCGCCTTATTTTAAAGCAAATAGCTTATATAAATAAATATTATGTATAAGACACTGACTATGCCTTCATTGCCGGTCAAACTTCACAAGGATGTGATTGAGATTTGATTTTTCACCACACATACATCCATGTTGAAAGACTAGGTTGCGTGTGATGCAATGCAAGTTGACCAACAATTTGGGCAACGTCAAGAGACAAAACCCAAATGCAAAAACGAGTCGTTTTTTGAAAATAAATTAGTGAGAAATGGGGAAGCCATTGCTAACCAACAAATCCCTATGATCATATCTGAATGGGATATGGAATGAGGGTTTCTGCACAAAAGATGGAAGGTTGTGTGATATTGATGGCTTGAGGAGGTGCATGCATATTTGCATACCCCAACATTCAAATTCAGTTGAGGATAAGGATGCATTTGGCATGTAGCTGTTTGTTTCCACGTACCATCATGCTTTTAGCAATTTGCTTTCATCCACAACATTCACTCGTCATCTAAAAACTGTTCCGGTTAGTCGCCCACACAAATATGGGTAAATCTTTTACCATAGATCTGAATCCTACAACTCAGTCCTAACTACCCCATTATTTTACCTTCGTCACAACATCCAAAAGCAAATGGCATTTAGCTTTTTCCTCATGGTGAAGGGCAGCAAATTCACTGGTTTTTCAGGAACACAATTACTTGTTCAAGAAAATGGAAAAGAAGAAAGAGAGGGAAGTTCCATTGTCAGAATAAATCATAGACGCGAGAAAAATGAATGGCTTCAAAATATTACGCGGTCCGAATTATGGTAGAAAAGAAGTTACCTTTTCATACCAAATGATTTAGGGTTGTCTAGCCATACAAATTAATAAACATGTCTTGTAATTCTGATGAGAAAATTATTAGACACAAAAAGATCTAATAATTAAATTTGCATACTAGCAAGCAACAAGAAGCACATCCTTGAAACTAAAAAGAGACAAATGAGTCACAAAGCAATCGAACAAAGTAGGAAAGGCCTCACAGAATCCCATAAACCTCATTTACCATACAAATAGCATCTCCAATCCTCCCAGAAATTCATACGTTTGAGAAAAAGCTGTTGGAGAGGAGAGAAAGCAGTCTTGACTCCTGCAGTCTGGACTCAACATGTCAGCCAATCCCAGTTGACTCAGACATCTACACAAACCGCACAATTTAAAACCATGTTGACTTGGTCACACTCTACATAAACACCACAAAATTGAACACAGACGAAGCAGCACCTATTTTGCATGAAAATCATGAACAAAAAATAAATGAAAGCTGCAGGAAATGTACAGAAAGAAAAGGCACCAGTGTTTACGGATGTGTGTGATTATGTTTATGTGGATACAAGCTCTTACACAACAAAATACTAAAGTATCCAAAACAATTGAAAAATGTGTGTCGCGACAATAGTGCAACAACATATTATGATCAAGCAAAAAGAGAGATTTAGCACAACAAATGCTTACCCGTACTTGAGAGGATTCAACTACGACTCGGAATACATACTAAGCATCTGCACAAAACAAACAATAATAATGTCATGAATACGTAAATTATCCAAAGATTCACTCTATAGATCAGTATAAAGTTCAGAACCCCAAAATACAGAAAAGAACATCCACAAACAAACACTTTTCATATGATTACGTAAACTGTACACTAAAATGTCTCCACTGCACTGACCAGTACAGAAGAGACATGTCCCATATAGCTCATAAACCTATTAGAATAACAACTAACAAGAAGACAACAAACTGTACACATTAGCTGATATCATGCAAAAATTCTATAATATAAAGATTTGCTGATACTTAAAACAAATGAAAGCATATTATTTATTGTAAAATATGTGTGAAACAGTACAATGCATGTCAATGTCGTAATCCATTGCTGGATCAACTAGTATAGAGTAAAAACTTTTAGAAATTGTTCTTATTAATTCCATCATGGGTACAGATTACACAAGTAGCACCACCCTAAACACATTCACCAAAGATTCATGGGTACAGGTGCAAAATGTTCTTCAGGGAAATGCAAAAAGGTAAAACAAGAGGAAATTTAAACCCCATTAAGAATAACCATTTTGACAAAATTTCGTCACTTTGAGAATTTCCTTTCACAACATTTTATTACCTGATGACGTGATATGAGTCATACAGTCACATCAGTTAAACTTACTGACGAAACAAACTCTCATGTTCTGCTTACTATAAGCCAGAAGCACTTCTAGAAGCCAATGATAGTGCATACCCATCCTCTTTAACAACCAGAGAGGAAGAATTTGGATCACCAGAAAATTAATTTATCACTTTCTATAGGTGCAAAAAGATGTGGTTGGGCCCTGACAACTAGACATGTAAAGAACAGCAAACCTACAAACCTCTTAGTGTTTTATTCTTAACCATTATACATGAACCCTGATTAGGTCCATGAGCAAAGCCTTTCATCTCAAAATAGCTAATGGGACTATCCAGCAGAGTGGGAATACAAGGGAGCTACCAAACTATGAGCAGCAAACTAGTTAAGTAAGCATTGGCCTCTTCTTAGCCTACTGAACCTACAACTAAAGTTGCCAGCAATGTGAACAACCTCCTTAGGCTACTGAATCTTATACAGAACATAGACCTATGCAAGATGCGGTCTAGGAAATGACCAACTAGCAAAATAAGTGTTATTTGCAAATGAATATTCCCAAACACATGATAAATATGCAAATTTCAAAGTTATACCGCTTTTGGCATGGGGAACATATTCTGACATTTAATGATAGAAAGAGGTGGACTTGCTTTTATTTAGACAAAGCATCTGGCAGCACTACCAAAGGGTAAAAAATTCCAAACAATAGTTTTTCTTTGCAGAAAAAAGAAAAGGATATTCTCTTAGGTAGGATATTTTAGAAACAAAGCTAACCAGGCCAAATCTCAAGTGCATAAGGATCGTATACAGAATTTCATACAGGTTATAGTGGAGATTGGAAAGACCAAGCAACTCTAAAAGTAAAACAAACTTAAATAAGAAATGTCCATGCTAATCTAGTTCAAAATATTCTTTTCACATTCAAAGAACCTCATGATGCTTCAGAGAGCAGCCATGAGTTGTGAACATTGCAAAATATCAAACTTTGCTTAATCAACCTTGGTTCTGAAAATCCATAATATATACAATAGAAACGATTTGCAGTTCACAATACTTCAGAAGCAAAACAACAATGAGGAGCACAAGCCCTCACCTGATATAACAATTTCAAATTTCCCTTTGCATAAAGTTAGATTGCTCATCTAATTGCATCCGTAACTCCTAAACAGAAAAAGTTCCCATTTGTAGCTCTCTTATCAGACATACGAGACAATCATACAGCCCCATTGCAACAGACATATGCATATGGGTGTAATGTGCGCCAATCATACCCAACATGATATAATCGCCAGTTAAACAAACCAAATCCTAATCGATTAATAAAAGACCCAAATTTGAAGTTACTAGCAATTAAATCAGCGAAAAAGCCCTAACCTTTTTTATGCTCGTCCTTTACCACTGGCTTGATCACGGCTTCTTCCTCCTCATCCTCTTTAACCGCAACAACAGCAGCAGGAGCAACAGCAGAAGCACCAGCACCGGCACCATTGTCATCATCCGGAAACCGTACAACAACAACAGGGCAAACACAGTGATGAACGCAATAATCGCTCACACTCCCAAGCCTACCGTCATTCCCACGCTTCGCGGCGCCAACCCCTCGGCTCCCCATGATCACGGCACTGAGCCCTAGCCTCTCGACCTCCAAGCACAGCCTCTCCTTCATGTCATGGTCCTTAACGATGTGGATCTTGAAGGGAATCTGAGCCTCCTTCAAGGGCCTGGCGAGATCGGCGGCCTTGGAAGCAGTGAAGGCATCAAAGTCGTTCTCGAGCTTCTTCTGCTTGACGGAGTCGTTTAAGGCGTGGTTGTCGACGAAGTCAACGTCGTCGTTGGTATTGATGGAGAGGTCGACGGAGCCCCAGTCGGCGCCGAATAGGACGGAGGTGGGGCTGACGTGGAGGAGAACGACGGCGTCTCCGGGACGGATGTAGTGGTCGACGGCCCAGCGGACGGCATGGGCGCTCTCGTCGGAGAGGTCGACGGCGACGCCGAGCTTTCGGCGGGCGCCCGCGGTGGGGGTGGGAGTGGCGGCGGAGCCTGCGGATGAGGTGTGGTGACGTGGAGAGTTAGGGTGGTGGCGTGGGGAATTAGGGTGGTGGATTCTGATGTTGGGGAGTTGGGGGTCCGATGGGTCTTGGGGCTGCGGGGGCTGAGGATGATTCATTTGGGTTTTTGCAGAGGTTTCGGGTTTTTTTGTTTGGTGTTTGGTGTTTGGTGTTTGTTTGTTTGGATAGTGGGAAAATGAAAAGGAAAACGGATGGGAAGGTTGGGGAGTGACGAGAGGGAGAGTGGAGAAATGGGCTTAAATCCTCATCATCATTTATTATTATGCGCATATGCCAAAGTCCAACACAGACAGAATGACACTTGTTTTGTTTCTTTCCGCTTTCCTCGTTCTTCTTTCCTTTTTCTCTTTTTTCTATTTCCGATGAATGGGCTTGGATTTGGTCTGTCTGGTAGATTGAGCAATGGCCCAATTTTTGCTTTAAGTCAAAATCATTAGAACCCAATTTTTAGGCCCACCAGCTATATTTCAGTTGGCATTAAGAGCACTCCCACTCATTTGCCGTGGCAAAGGGTAAGGGCAAGAAAAGGGCTGTTACTAAAAAATAAGAAGAAAAACATATAAGGGAGAGATTAGGGAATGAATCGCTTGATAGTGATGTTAGGGAATGATGTTTTATAAAGACTTTTATTTTATTTAGCTAAGATATTTTGTAAAGACTTGGATGGAGTTGTCTCCCAAAAAACAAAAAAAGAAGACCTTGCGATTGGAATTTGGGTCGATGGCCTTTGCGATTGGGACTTGTATGTTTTGTATTAAATTATTAATAATAGTATATAATATATATATATATATAAAGCAAAAGGTAGATAATTGTGAAACATTCAAAATACAAGAAAATGTCCTTAGTTAATTCAAACATTATGAATTAAAATTATTAATTAAATGAGGATAATATGGTAAATTCATATTTTTTATATTAAAAAATTTAAAATTAAAAACAAAATCATATTTTAGATCCTACTTTTATGGAACATAACTACCCATATTATCTTTTCTTAATTCTAAAAATAAAAGAAAAAAGAAAAAGAAAAACCAATTGGCACATGCATGAGCGTGTGCCAAAGGGCTAGTACTGATTATGACGAAGTGCAAGTCTGAGGGCACTTTGGCAGTAGGTTCTGTGGAATTAGGCTTTACCTTTTTTCTCTTTTTTTATTCTGGTTCAAAACGACGTTGTTTTGGTCAAGGACTTTAAATATATATGAGCACTGTGCTACGCGCAACAGCCCAAGAACACAACAAACTAAAGGAGTTTCGCTAAGGCATTTCCTCAAGTAGTTTGTGGGCACTTCCATGGCAGAGCAAAGGTACAAATTTCGCCACCTTCAAACCGTGTGCACCTCCTCGCGCCTTTGTGAGTCTACCCCTGGATATGGGCACTTATATTAACTTAATTGCAGTCAATGGCCTAAGCTCAAAGCCATCTTAATACAATTTTATAAATTGGAACTTAAGAGTTAAGGATCTAACCCAATTGGTCCCACCTATTAGTATAGTAGTCATGTTGACAGAGACCCCCAAAATCAAGTCCAACTTGGTGATACAAGTTTCCAAATCAACTATCAAACAAGTTTTTGACAAAATACCCAATAGAAGATGGTTTTTGAGATAGGCTAGCTGCTGCCAAAATGTGATCAAGTTTTTGGCATCTTACTAATCTTTCTCAAACCATAAGCTTTGATTGCTTGAGTGCTTGGGGGCCCTAAACATACATGCATTTATCCAGCGAAAACAAATTTGAAATTTAACCAAAAATCAAAATGTTTAAATTGACATGTACCGATTTTCTTGCTTGGATTCATAAACAAACAAATTTTTTAAGTTCAAATATTAAAAATTCTATCTAAATAGTTGTCATTTCTAAAATTATGAGAGAGTAGTAGTTTTAAGAAAAAATAAAGAAAAGAAAACCATGTACATACCACATTGTCACCGTACAAACTCTACCACCGCCGCCTTAGAATTAGCAGCGCCTTTCACATACTTAGAATGAAGTCTTTTACTCCTCCATATCTTGGCATATGATCAACGGATCAAACTCACACATTGTGTTTAAATATTGTTTTGGTCAAACAAATTCCCAATAAAATCATGATATTTATATGTTCATACTTAACTTCCTGTATTGAATGAATCTAACATATATATATAAATATATAGATTAGAAAGGATTGATTATTTATTTTTATTTTGTTAATTTGGAAAAGAGAATTTGTGCCATATATCCATAATGACATGGTGATTTCTACCAATTAAATCATCAAGCTGCCATTGATTAACACTGGCAGGCAGCAAAGCAAAAGAAAAGAAATATTTATTAGACAAACAAAATAACCAAAAACAATAGAGCAAGAAAAGAGGAAGAGAAAAGGAAAACCTGGCCCATATATATATATATATATATATATATATGTGCAACCAATGAAATTAAAAGGGAGTCGGAAAAAAGGCTTCTTCCATCAGGCCATCATGTATATAGAATAGAGATAGATAGCCTTTACTTATAACTTGTACTACTGAGAGACTCCTCCTACAGACTCTCTCTCTCTCTCTCTCTCTCTCTCTCTCTCTCTCTCTCTCTCTCTCAGAGTGACCTGCCTGCCAGCTGCTGCCTGCATATTTATGTAATATCTATATACTCATTACACAGATTTGTACTGACCACACTGATCACCTGCTCTGCTCTCTTGTATATAGCCTGGTGTACCCAGCAGCAGCCACTCACTGGTTTAATGCAGACCAGCACAAAACCTGTCGTTAAACCTAGCTACGTTAATTAATATATATATGTACACACTCGTTTTGAGAAATTAATTGTTGCAATATTCGCTTGTGCTTACTTTTCATCAACCCTTTTCCACGTTTTTCAAAAAATACCACGACTCTCTCTCCCATAAGCAGAAGGGAGAGATGCCTATTTGTGTTTCAGCACCTAAAACCATACAAACTAACTCCAGAACAGAAAGAAAAAATAGAAAAGAAGAATTAATTCCCAGTTTAAATTTAAACAGAGCAGAACCAACAGTGAGTTGAAGATGATCAGGGTCTAGGGCTTTGATCATTTCCGCTTTCAAGTAATATATACAGTCTGTATGCTCAGAGCTTATACACAGTTTTCCTTTTCCTTCTTTTCAATAATATTCTCAACACATAAATTTAACATATACCTATCTCGACCTCCAATGTAAAAGAAAAAGGTTAGCTCTTTTTTATTGGTCACACCTAGTGACCATTAATATTACAAACGGTAGAATATTGGTCTATGCTGAAGAATCATATAATTCGTTACGACTCAAGATTCCGCATTGGAAAAATAGCATATCCTAAGAGCTCTTGGATATCCTTCCCTTACGAGCAAGTTCTACCCACGGGCTCTTAACATTATTCTTACAGAAAATAAATAACCGTTAGGTAGATAATTATAAATCTTTGTGACTGGGGGATATGTATTGATGCCTCATTCATTAAGCGACTACAACATATATCTGGCTGAAAAACTTGAACAACTTTGGTTTACAGCAGTACCAAAATGGAATTGTAGCAATCAATTCTGGTCACATTTTTTCTTTCAAAAGATTACAAAGATGTAGGATCTCCCTAAATAGAGAGTTAATTAAAAGACAAGATATATATATATATATATATATAGAACTCAAGACTTAAATGAGAATCTAAAAGTAATTAAAGAATAAATAAAAGAAATTAGCATAGATCCCATGAGAAATTAATAAGGGCAACTTGGATGGAATTAAAGCAAAAACAACTTGTGAAACGAACTTTGGGGACAGACAGAGCTAGCTTTAAACATGGATTCTAAGCTTGTATGGGAATTAATTTGGAGATGATATGTATGTCAGTTTAACTAACAAAAAAGGGAAACCAAAAAGCTGTATCTTGGGTTCTTTTCCCCACATGCATTATAGATGAGCACTGCAAAAACACCAAAACAGACACCTTGATTTGCTTCTAAAATGAAAGCTTGAGTGACAAATCAACAGGATTATGATAACTGTCAGCCCCAATCCCATAGCCATAACTAGAAGCAGTAATATCAGAAGGTTCTTCATGGCTCCCCACTGAAACTGAAGCTTCTGCTGTTTGCCACATCTCTGTCTCCTTGGGACAAGTGCCTCTTCTCATCTCACTACTTTTGCCACCAGCAGCTGGAAAGAAATCATATTCCATGAAAATACCACCACCAGCTGAGCTCCCTTTTCTGTGCACTGCCCTAACCTCTACACCCTACAAACCCAATACCAATCAAATTACATGATCAATTCAGCAAAGCAGTATTTAATCAGTATATTTAATCAAATTTAAAAATGGGTAAATATATTCTGAGTACCAAAAGAAAAGAAAATACATCAATCTACCAAAACAAAAGCAAATATATTCATATAGGACTCAGATTTTTGCTTCTTCTATATGTAAGATTAAACTTTATGTTTGTTCTACCTGATCATCATTGCGGTAGTCTGAGTGAGCTGTACTTCTCCCCACCACTTGGCCACCACCGGCTTCCGGGTTCAATCTGAGAAAACCAGAACTGTTGATTGGTGAAGTAGCCGCAGATTTGCCACTCCTGCCGTTTAAGCCCACGTAATTCCGACTATTGAGCCTCTTCTTCTGCTACTCAAAGAAAAAAAGATACAAAAAGGTCAGCAAATTTAAGCGTAAATTGAAAAAAAAACAAAAAACAAAAACAGTGGGAAAAAAGTGTATTAATGTAACAGTACTCATCAATTAATATAGTTACTTGGTAAACTTCGTCTTAAGAAAGAAAGACTTCACTTTTCCCACGTTTTCTCGGAAACCAAGCAATTTTTTTTTTAACAAACGTAAAAAAAAACAGAAAACTAAAGAAAACTATACACCTTCTTGCAGCAGATATCACAGCAATCAGAAGACAAAGGTTGAACCTTTGGTATTGAAGAGAGCTCTTTCGAGGTCTCATACACAGCCCCAACTTCAAACCCCGGATCCGGAGCCCCGATTGCGTAAGGACTCGGGTTTAGGTCCACCACCAAATTATTACCTCCAACATAACCAAACCCAGAACCATTCCCAACCCTCTGACCCACAAAACCAAACAAGCCATTACCACCAGAGCCCTTGATCAGCAGTGGTCCATTGTAGCTGGATGCACCGTACTGTACTGGAACACTGGCAAGTGGGCCGGGTAGGGTTCTGGTGGGGTTCTGGTGCTGAAAGTTCTGGTACTGATGATGATCAGGAAGATTGATAACTTGGGGTTGGGGTTGCGGTTGGGGCAGTTCCGTCATTTTCTTCCAGCGGTCTTGGAGCCTCAGGCGCTCCAGCTGAGCAACACCAAGACCTCTTTGTGGTTGCTTTTTAGAGTTTGAGGCTTTGCCGGATTTCTTAGTGCCTTTGGTGGATTTGGTGGACTCGGGTTTGGATTCCTCGTAGAACCCGACAAGGGTTTTAGTGGGTTCTTGTGTTGTGCTCTGTTCTGAGGCCATGAGCAGCATTGGCGTAGCCATTTCAGCAAAAATGATGATCAAGCTTGAAACTTTAGTGTGTGAAATGGGTTTTGAGAGAGAAAAAATACTTGGGTTTGTGTCAATATTGGAAATGGACAAATGGGTAATGTTTTTTTTGAGAGAGAGAGAGAGAGAGAGAGAGAGAGAGAGAGAGAGAGAGAGTTTTGGCTTTGGCTTTGGCTTTTGGCTTGTGTTTTTAAGGTTGGAGATGGGTGTGTTTGATTGAGAGAGAGAGAGAGAGGCAGAACAGAAGGGTAAAAGAACTACTGGGGATGTGTGTGTGTGGAGGGCTAAAAGGACATGGCAATGCCTCTGTTTTGCTCTTAATCTGTGTTTGTGTAATTTGTTCTCTAGTGACTTTGGCTAGCTCCAACCCTCTTTTCTGCTATTTCTCATCACACAATCCTCTTGTCCTTTGTAAATACTCTCAAAAAAGGACATTGAAATAGCAAAACTGAGCTTGGACATAGCACCTTATCTATTCCACATAAAGATATCATAGAGAATTCTCCCCAAGCCACCCAAAGTCCCTTAACTGTATGTCACGGTCCAATCAAAACGTTGCTTTAAGTGAAGTGCAGAGCACTTGACCAATTGTAGGTAAAGCTAAAGCTACAACAACATGGTACCCAGAGACATGTGTCAAGAGCTCAGAGGACATGCCAATTTGTACCCGCAGGCATTGGTCGGAAAACCAAAGAGTTATTTGTCCAGCCTGCAGCTATATAGGTGCGCCAAAACAAGCAGTGCCATTGCCATTGTATTGTAGCACAGCAGCTTTCAGCCTTGGCAAATATGGCAAGAGAATTATTAGGTTTTTGAAGCTTTATGTTCAAAAAAGTCAATATCTTTGCCATTTAGCTATCTAGCTTTTATGACCCAATGGGTTATTAGCCCTCTGATCATGATCATCGTGGCCTATGGCTGATGGGGGTTTTTGGGGCTCCAGAAAAGAGAGAGAGCTGATCTTGAATCTTGATGATGATGATCAGGTGGTGGGTGTGGAGGGTGTACTAACAGTCTAACCCTTAGTGAAGAAACTGCCTCTAGCTATATAGCTCTCTGGCAATCATATTGTAGAGCAAGATATGGCTATGAAGAAAGTGAATCTGATGCCTCTATATGGTACAGGCTCAGGCTTGCAATGATGCCTTCCTCTGTATTACTATTACTCATACATGTGTTAACATCAGAAAGCTATCTGATGAGACTTCGTGTTATTAGATAGTAGCTGGGGCTTTTTGAGTTGGGAACAAAATTGAAAGAAAACAGACTTAGTCTAGCCAGTAATTAATGTACATTTATCATAAAATGTTTAAAAGGGCACTCTTGATTGCTAACGGGATCTAGCTCAATACAAAAGAGTCTTAGACTTGCATATTAGTAGTCTCATGTTTGAACCCCGTGATACCCTCTTGATTTAGAGTAATTAATCGTTTCTAGCGTCATAAAAATAAAATTAGAAAAGAGTTGAGTTGGAATAATTGGGTCCATACATTTCCTTAAAAAAAAAGAAAAAAAAAAAGAAGGTATTTGTGATATTAATAAACTCCTTTTGTGGGAAAAATATTTCAAGAACAATAGTTCCAATGTGAATTTAACTCCAACCCCTAAATGATATTGATTTAGTTTCTTTTTAAATTTTTTAAAAAAATCATATATAACAAACCTAACCATTGATGATTCAAATGCATAATGACAAAAGGGGGGACCAAATGTTCTAAAGGAAGAAACTCTCTTTCGTGATATAATTCGTTAAAACGAAAAAGTTCAATATGAGATTTTACCTAACTAGCTAAAACTTAGCCTAGACGTTCAAGGTTAGCAACAACTACCCAGATTTTTTCTTTTTTTCGTTCACAAAGAACATCCGAACAAAATTTTCCTTCCTTCCTTCTAATCAGACAAAGCAAAGTGTAAATGAATGAAACCCATTTCACACAATATTTTTGTACACAAATTAAGCATGTTACAGCGACATTTACGCACTTTCTTTGGTCAAGAGCCCAAACCGCGTGACCAACCGACGCGTGTCCATATAACCATCTGAGGAAACACCGTCCGCTCTGGTCCATAGAGGACCACCGTAGGCGTCTGTAGGGTATGGTAGGGTGTACAAACTCGCGCCGTCCTAATCCCACGTAACCTCGTGACAATCTCTCCAATCATCACCTTCCACGTCACCCGGCGGGCTCCACTTTCCTTTTATGGAATTTTCTCTTCCTTGGATTTTTGGACCGTAAAGAGCGAATCGAAATTTAGGCCCCTAGGTACTATTCTATTTGTAAAAGGATCTCCGTTGTGGGGTCCACAGCAGGTTGTCCCATTCTACGTGGCAGGTGGGGGCCCACTATCGTACGGCTTGGGGAGGGTTTGGCACATGGGAGAGTTGGTGCTATTTTTTTTTAATTAAATTTTTTTTAAATATAATGAAATCTGATATAAATGTTATGTTTGGTGTATGCTGGGTTTGGATAGACACGGTGGATTATCGGCGTCTGGTGAGCAGATTGTGCCCCTGCATAGAATGATTGAGAGAGGAGAGGATGCGCCCACATACACAATTGTTGCTTTGGTTCAGGACCACTTCACACGTGTTGCTTCCCACTTTTTTTTTTTTTTTTTTTTTTTTTTTTTTTTTTTTTTTTTTTTTTTAAAAAACTAATTGTAAGCTAATGCTAATCAATGGGAGGAGGGTTGAACTTGAATGCAAGAATATTATCACACTGCATTAACTAACTGACCTAACTCACGTATGTTGTTGCTAAGCATTAATGTGTTTTTTTGTGGGCTTATTTAGCGTAATTTTCCTAAGCAAATTGTCTTGAAGATAAAAGTGGTAAGAAGTTACAATACTAGATTCGGTTTGGACGGAAGTATTTAAAAAGGGATCTAAATTTGAGTCATTTGGAATCCATTAGATTCAAGGAGCTACAATTTAAAACATCTTAAACTCCCTTTAAGTTTTATGGTAATAAGAAAAATACAAATTTATAAATAAACCCAATCCTAGACATGTATTTATAAAAAAACCCAAGCACTATTTAATCATAGAAACACACCCAAAATCAACCCCAAAGTCAACTTTTTGGGTGTGTTTATAAATGGGTTTTGAGTGTGTGTAATGATGGGTTTTGGGTGTGTTTATATGTTTAAATAGTGCTTGAGTTTTTTTTATAATTTCAACCCCCATTTTGGGTGTTTTAGTGAAACTCTCTAAGAAAAACGTGCAAATATGCATATGAGATAAATTCAAATGACCTTGTGCTCATAAAGATTCGAACCTAAAACGTCTACATTTTTACCATCTTCACGAATTACAACTTTAATCAAGTTAATTGATGAATGTTAACAATGCCAATCAAAACCAAATTGTTGAGATCATCACAATCCCATTTAGATTTTACTTGGTAGGTATAAAACAACTGGACTCAAAGGGCTTTAAAGAAATAATTGGTAAGCAGTTTGTGTCCTAGATGTTTCCTAGTGGTTGCTATAAGGAAACCAGAGAAAAGAGCAACTGCTAGTTCTGGCTTTATGCAACTTGTGAAAGACCTAACCATTTTTGAACAAAATAACACACACACCACCAACCAAAAAAAAAAAAAAAAAAAAAAACAAACCCCATCTCCATGCCCCACCCCTTACATAAAACAGGACCACACAGGCTGCAGGGGAGATATAATTATTTAGATCTGAATCTGAACTGAGATTCGGTCTCTTTCTCTGATGAGTTACTTTTACCATATTGCCCTCAACTACCATCCTGAAATGGACAAAATGTGTCCCATATGGCATGCATGGCCCAGCGAGGCAGTGGTACATGCAGATTTAGCACATGTCTTACGCTGGGATGGGATTTTGATGGAGGGACCAGATGAGCAGCATGCTGGGGTGGGGTGAATCTGGGCCGTTCAAGGAAGACAAATTTGTGCAAGAAATATTCGGTTTCTGTATGGCATTTATGTACACTTGGGTGAATTTTGCATGCATCAAGAAGTCGCTGTCATCTGTTATTTGTGTTGGCATTGCGAGATTTCTGTACAAAACAAAAGACTCAGACTTGAAAGCTAGATATGTCTAGCTAGAAGCTAGGTGCATATAAAACACACTTTTTATTTATGCAACCCACCCATACAAAAGGAATTAAATAAATGGGAATCCATTCTTTTCTTAATTATAAGTTTTTTTTTTATACAAGCGATAATCTATTTTAAACTAATCTAAAATATGAAAAGATGATTCAAATTCGGATGCAGAATGAAAGGGACATCTGTTCTAACTAACTTGGCTGAGCTCATGTCTACAAGTTCTTAATTATGAGTTTTTGTTTGTAGTATTTGCTTATAACAAAGATTCTTTTCTCCTTTCTTTCTTCTAATTTGGAAAATGACCCACACAAAAGGGAAAATGTCTGCTGCGTTGAGACTTTAAAACAGAAATCAATATGGCAGTAAGATTCTTTACTTCTTATCTTCTTCTTTTCTCTCTCTTTATTTGGTATACGATCCACAGAAAAAAAAGGAGGTTTCTGCTGCAATAGAGACTTTGAAAGAGAAACCAATATATATGGCACCAATTAATCTCAATAACTTACACGGATAAACAGGAAAGTATAAATGAAGATGACAAATTATGATTTCCAAATGGTGGGGACCAAAGAAATATGCCTCAAGTCAAATCAAAAAGAAGAAAAAGCAAAATCCCTTGAGTTTGCCTAGAGAAATATATTTACAGGTATAAAATAGAGTGTATGTACAAAACTGGAGAGCTCACTTCTTTATCTATATTTACATATTCAAAGTAGGTTTTGCAAAAGCGACACTCTTAGGGAGGATGAATGAGGCACACAACATCCATTTTCCTGGTGCAACAAGGCGTACCCTACGCATTTCTACATCAACTGCCACTTCTGAAAGTGCAATTCTTATTCTCTGCATTGATAAACAAAAAAAGACGTAAAAATGGATGAAGGAAAAAAGTTTAAAAATTAACTGGAA